CGGGCAGGGGCGGAAGCAGGGGGCGAGAAGAAGAAAAGCAGCCAAGACAGGACAGGCAGCAGCGGCAGCAGCAGCAGCAGCATGTACGCACGACCGAATGAAGGGAATCGACGTGGCAAAGCCATCGAGCGACGTGCGCACGGTCAGCGCCGGGGCCGGGGCCGCCGGGTCATCCAGGCCCAGGAGCCCCGGCGAGCCGGCCCCCCCGGCCCCATAGGACGCCGCGGCCGACAGCGGGGGCGACCGCATGGCCAGGTCCTTGAGGTTGGCCGGCGTCCAGGTGAGCAGCGTCGTGGCCAGGGGAGGGCTGCCGGGAGCCGCGGCCAGGCCCGCCTGGTCCGGCCCGGCGATCGGACCCTTGGCCGCCGGCGCGCCGTCCCCCGCCGGCCGGGCTGCCGACGAGGGGGACCCCATGGCGGCGGGGGCGCCGGCGGTGGGCACCGCGTCGTCCCCGGCCCCCGAGTCGGCCGCCACAGACCCCGGCGAGGAGGTGGTCAGCTGGGTGCCGGCCGACGGCCGGGCGTCGCCCCCCGGCCGGGGGACCGCCACGGCCCCGGAGGCCGGCAGCGCGGCCGACGCATGGCCATCGGCGGCGGAGACGGACACAGCCGCGGCCGCGGCCGCCGCCGCAGCTGCCGCCGCGGCCGCCGCCGCCGCAGCCGGCGCCACCGGCATCGGCGTGAAAAGGTACGGCCCCCCGCCGGGCATGGTGACCGGCACCGGGGACAAGGGGGCCACCGCTGGCCCGGCGACCGGCGACGTCAGCGGCCGGCCGACCGGCGAGGAAACCGCCCCGGCCGGGCTCCCAGACGAGACGTCCTGCCGGATGGGCGCGTCGAAGCCGCGCTGGCTGACAAACCGCGGGGCCCCGGCCCCGGGCCCGGGCGAGGCGCTGGCCATGCCGCCGCCCGGGGTCCCGGGGCCGGACCCGGCAGCCTCCATGCCCGGCATCAGACTCGGCAGGGGAGCCGACGCCGGGTAGTCATGCTGCCGCGAGGGGGACAGCGACATCGACAGGGCGGAAGGGCCGCCGGGCCCGCCGCCGCCGCCGCCGCCGGGCCCGCCGCCGCCGCCGGCCCCATGGCCGATCACCTGCTGCGGCGAGAAGAAGGGCGATGGCCGGATGTGGGCGAAGGGGTCGGCCGTGGCGGCGGCCGCCGTCGGGTCGTCCCCCGGCGGGAAGGGCGCCGAGCCGGGGGTCGCGTACGCCGGGTCGAAGGCGGCTGTGATGGCCGAATGCGGCCGGACGCCATTCCCCCCGGCCCGCATGGCGAACGAATCCATCATCAGCCCCGGCTCCATGGCCGACAGGTGCGGCATCGGCCGGACCGGGGTGGTGGCGCGATCGGCCCCGGGCGGGATGCCTGCCAGGCTGCCGGCCGGCGCGGCCTCCCCGCCCGCGGGCTGGAACCCGTGCACCGAGCTGAAATTCGACGCGCCACGGCGGAACTGGGCCGCTGTGGGCCGGCGCGCAGAGGGGACACCGCATGGTCAGCGACCGGGCGGCCAAAGGCGGGAGTTGCGGCGACAAGGGGAACCAGGCAAGGGGGGCCAAGCAGGGGGGGCCGAGCAGGGGGGGGCCAAGCAAGGGGGGCCAAGCAAGGGGAGCCAACATGAATAACACGGACAGCACAAATAACACAGACAGCACAAATAGCACAGACAGCACAAATAGCACAGACAACAACAGCAGCAGCAGCAGCAGCAACAATGGCAACGCACCGGACGAACTGTCAGAGCCACCGTCGATCGGGGCGCCGGAGTCCGGCGACACCGGCGAGTCCAGCATGGACACACGCCCGGAGGGAAGGTCCGGGAAGCCGGCGGCCGTGGACCCGGTCATCAGGGGAAAGAGACTCGGGGCCACCGGGCTGCACAGCGGCGACCCGAAGGGGGGCAGGCTGCCGGCGAAGCTGCCAGCCGAGCCATACGACGACCCGGGCACCCCGGTGTCGATGGCCACCCCGGCGTAATAGTGGTGCCCGCCGGCGCCGGAGGACGCCCCGATGCCGCTGGCGCCGCCGCCGCCGCCGCCACCACCACCCGCGGAGGAGGACGACGAGGAGGACGACCGGCCAGCCCGCGGGGGGATCGGCGTGGCCGAGGAGGAGGACGAGGAAGACCCGCCGGACAGGTGGTGCCCGCGCCGGGCCAGGATCGACTGGGCGGCCGAGGCCACATGCGGGTGGCTGCCGCCGCCGCCGGCGGCCGCCGCCGCCGCCGCCGCCGCCGCGCCGCCAGCCGCATTGGCCACGCTGCCCGGGGGCCCGGCCGCGCCGGGGGACGCCCCGCGCACGGACGCCCCCCCGGTGCCCGGCGGCGGGGTGGCCAGCCCGCCATCGCCGGCGCCCCCGAGGCCGGGGTCCCGGGCGATGGCCGGCGAGTCGGCCGGCGAAAAGCCGCCCGAGCTCCGCGGGAAGTCCAACGTGGCGCCAGGGCCACCGACCGCGGTCACCGGGTCGGCCTTGGAGCGCACCACCTCCGGGCCCATGTGCAAGGAGGCCACATTGAGCGAGGCAAAGCCGCCGGTCGAGGTGCCCAGCGGCGAGACCCCGGTAGCCGGGCCGCCGGCCACCGGGGACAGGGGCGACGTCGGGTGCGCGCCCATGGTCGGCGGAGCCGGGCGCGCGTGCGTGCCGCTGCCGCCACCGGGCATCGGGCAAGCCGGGAGAAGGGCCATGTGTCAGGGTCACCGGCCGGCGAGGGGGAGGGAAGGGGAGGGGGGGGGGAGGGGCACAAACAGCGAGCAGGGCGCAGGTGGCGAGGACGCGCGGCGAGGGCACAACAAACGCACATCGGGGGCGGGGTGGTGGGAGCGTGCGGGTGCGAGTCCCGGCGCTGCGGCGACGACCCGTCGTCAAGGTCCTCGCCGGACAGGCGGCCCGGGCGCTCGTACTGCGCGTCCGGGTGGTAGGCGCCGCCGGGGCCGCCCGGCCGGCCGGGCACCCGCGGCGGGATGGCCGTCGACTGCGAGTTGCCCATGGCTCACGGGCTCGGGCAGGGGAGGTGGCCGGGAGTTGCGTGTGTGTGTGTGCGTGCGTGCGTGCGTGCGTGCGTGCGTGCGTGCGTGGGGGTGGAGAGGGGGTCGGACGATGCGGGCCCCGCCTGGTGCGTTCGCGGTCGGGTCGGCCCCGGGCGCAGAGCAGGGACGGGATGCGTGGGAAAGGCGGAAGTGTGGGAGGGGGGGGGGATGCAGCGAGGGGCGAAGGCGGGGAGGGCCAGGAGGGGGCAGGGGATGGGCTCGGGGGGAGGCGAGGACGAGGGAGGGGAAGCGGGCTGATCGGCGGCGCCGACACGCCGCGCACCCGCCGCGGCTGGTCTTTTAGCCGCGGCCGCCCTGACGATCTCCTCGGGCGTTCGCTCCAGAGCGGTGCGATGAGGGGGGGGGGGGCGGGGGGGCGGCCGGCGTGTGCGCTTGTGCGTGTGCGCGTGTGTACGGGAGAAAGCGGGCGAGAGAAAGGGAACACACAGAGACTGATCGTCGATGTGCGAGGCCCACTCAGAGCACCCGGCCGGCCCCCCCCCCCCCGTCCCCCGGGGTCTGGGGAGGATCATGCGTGAAA